AACAGAGGCTGGATGGCCATCCATCAGGGATGCTTTGATTTTGAGTTCTTGAATGGCAGGGGTTGGACTGGATGGCCTTTGGGGTCTCTTCCAACTCTGTGACTCTATGATTCTATGACTTTGGGTGGAAAATGATGTAGGGTTTTTTGTCTTCAAGATGGAGGCCATTTGGGGATTTGCAATAGCAAGTACCGTAGGATGACGCCACAGCAGTTAAAGTGGTGTCAAAGTGCATTATTCCTATAGTGTAGATGCACCCTCAGTCAGCTTTAGCAATTAAGTATATTCATCCCTCCACATTCACTGGAGTTAGGGGCACAGGACCCCCATGAATGTGGAAAAACCACAAATAATAAAAACACTATGTTTTTACCTGAGAGAACACCTCTCTAGGAATCTCTAGTTCCTCCAGTGCAACTCTATGGTCAACATCTGCCAGTCATTGACCATAGAGTTGCACTGGAGGAGCTACAAATGCCTAGTGGAGTGTTCTCTCTAGGAATCTCTAGGTCCTTCAGTGCGACTTTTGGTCACAGTTGACCATAGAGTTGCGCTGGAGGACCTAGAGATTCCTAGAGAGAACATATTAATAAAATCTGTGAATAATCAACTCCACAAAGGTCAAGGCTGCAAATGTGGAGGGACAAGTGTAGTTGGATTTAAGAGTCTGAGTTAGCTAAGGGAAGAGTGTGAGCAAAGGTGAAATACTTGCTTTAATTGTGTTAAACTATTAGTGTGTGTTGTTATGGTCAACTTCTGTTAATAAAGTACGGTATTTCATTTGTATATTATGCACTCCAGGACTGCTACATACATACATACATATATATGTATAGTTATCAAATTTGCAGATGACACCAAATTAGGAGGAGTAGCTAATACCCCAGAGGACAGGATCAAAATTCAAAATGACTTGAACAGACTAGAAAGCTGGGCCAAAGCTAACAAAATGGAATTCAATACGGAGAAATGTAAAGTACTGCACTTAGGGCGGAAAAATGAAAAGCACAGATATACGATGGGGAACACCTGGCTGAACTTGAGTATGTGTGAAAGGGATCTAGGAATCCAGGTGGACCACAAGTTGAA